TCTCTCTCTCTCTCTCTCTCTCTCTCTCTCTCTCTCTCTCTCTCTCTCTCCTCAGCCATCTCATTTTCTCTCCAGCATTGATGCATGCCCTGCTGTAGTGTGCTCTTTGTTAGAGGAAAGAGTTTAATAATGATGTGGCAAGTTTCTCCTTCTTCCCTATTTGAAAGTTAAAAAATAGACCAAACTTTTTTGTATATCATTTATAAATAAGGTATAGTTACATGTATAAACCGTTGGGAAATGCTTTTAAAGCACGCCTAAAGCTTTGAACTTTTTCCAGACAATGGCATAATGTGATTGCATCAGAAAATGTTGGAATTACACGTCTTAAAACCCCATCGTACATTCTGATATCTTCTCTCTCTTGGAAATACCTGTTCTCTCAAGAGATGCTAATTTCTCATGAGATCTACTTGTATATTTTGTTCTTCCTTGAAACATTTAGAACATTTTAACTTTGCTTTGAAAATGGCCATTTCTATTAGTTTGCACATTTTTTATGTTCTTTCTAAGTTATGTATTATTAGTGTGAGTACTCAATTGAACGACGGATATCATTTGTATGCTTGCTAAGTGTGATCTGAAGCTAATGAAAGGCATTTTGGTGCCTTTCTATTTGAGGGAAATGTGGCCAGGCAGCTTGTGCTCCATATGGCAATTTTTCCCACCTACTAGGCGAGCTTTCCTTTTAGAGTCACTTACTAATTTGGGTTAAGATGAGCACACTTTGGTTCTATTTGTGGTGGGGTGTCGCAATGATGGCACCGTGGGTGGATGTGGGGAGGGGAAGTATAAAATCCATAACAACAGACTTATACCAGCATCTCTACATCCTTCAGTCTGTACATATAATGTCTTGATGGATTTTTCCTTGGTATGGTGTAGATCTTATGTGGTCCAAACGTCTACCTTAACCTTATCCTAAGATTAGGGAACTAATAAGTGATGTATGCTGTGGTGAACCAATGGGACCATCTTATAACTGATTCAAACATTACTTGGTGCTTCTTGACTTGCCAGTTGCAGGGAGTAGTGGTCGCTTTAAATTGTAATTCAAAGATATGTGGCTAAGCATATAAAATTATGGTGCTAGGAGCTAGTGGAGACTGGGTGCGTGCGTACAATAAAATTTGAACATTGTTATCAATCAAAAAAAAGAAAGGAAGAAAGAGAACTATGAAGGTAAACCGAAGGAATTAAATGGTGCTACTTATGGTCACCCTAGGGAGACAGAGGAAAGGTCCTCAATGCTTTCTCAAGTTTAAATGAGATGACTACTTTGCTTGCTGAACTTGAAAGAACTTCTAGAACAAACCTGAGGAAGCAGTTTCATGTTATCATCTTAGAAGTGGAAGTTAGCTGTCGCCAAAATCCAAGTCCAAGTGGCTCTGGCTGGGGGATAAAAATATGGGCCTTTTTGTCTATGCCATAGTATAACAACTGCAAAGAGCATCGGCAATGAAATATTTGGGATATGTGTTGATGGCCTCTGGTACAAAGAGGATATGGGAATTATTGGGGCAATTATTTCCTTGTTTCTCCATCTTTATAGCCTTCCCTATGATGGGATTCTAGAAAGTTGAAGGACAGGAACTCTGATATCTTCACTCAACGAAGAAGTCCCATAACAAGTGATTCATGGTACAGAGCTGAAAAACACACAAGGTGTTCTCTTCACCTAGGTCTGAGTGCACATAGATATCTAATAATTATGCTCCATTTTCTGTCTTGTTAGAAGTCTAGAGAATCTCCGCGAATAACTGTGTAAGGTGATAGAAAAGCTTTTGAATAATCTATCGCGACTATCTTGGAGCATATTTCGTTCTGACAAGCATGTAGAGTTCAGAGGGCCTTTAGGGGAGGATGGCATTTAAATGGCATTCTTTAGCCTCGAGAGAGAAAGGATCCTGGACTGGATCTCTCAATCAGCTTTTTCAGGACCACTGAGAGATTGATGGGAAATGTTTAGAGATGGAAATCTACTAGAGGATTGAGAGCTATCTTTTGTTTGTGCTACCTTCACCATCATTGTTCTCCAAATTGTGGATGTGAGCATATTTGGGAGTTTAGGCTAATCAACCTGGGTTAGAATGTGGATGAGGTCCCTTCCAACTGTCTTGTGTCCAATCCTTGGTTTTATCATATTCCGAAAGCATGTGCCTTTTGTGGAGGGCGGTGTTTAAAAAACCGGGCTCAAGCTTTGATATGCCAGGGCCCCAAGCGCAAGCCGGAGGTTGACTTGGCCGAGTTGGATCGAGTTGTTTCACCCGAGTCTAAAATTAAAAAAGCTTAAAAATTTTAGGACTCGAATCATGCTCACCCGATGTTTGGGGTGTCATCTGCACCGGGCACCCTGGCAGGTCCAAGTGACTCACGTGAGTCCGAGCTTGAGTCAACGATTTTTTAATCACTGGTGGAGGGTAAGCATGTTTTTTGATGGTGCATTTATGTCCCATGAAATACATTTTCTATACACAAAGGTAAATTGGGGTTATTTTAATTGGCTGATAAAGAGAAGGCCTATGACCATATAAACTCTATGGATAATTTGATGGGTAGTATGGTTTAGTGACAGGTGGATTAGATGCATGCTGGCATTGATTCTTCGATCTCCTTCTCAATAATGGTCAAAGGCTCCGAAGGGGCTCTTACTGTAGCTGCTGAGCTCTCAGTTATGGTGCTTCACCCTGTCTGTAATTGTTTAATGGAGACCTTTGATTGGATACTCGCAAGGGAAGTTGGAAGCTACTTGAAGGTTTCAAAACTGATCCATTGAATGTGGTCATCATCGCCTTAAATTCATGGATGACGCTTTGTCTTTTAGGAGGTTGTGGTTAGAATGTGTACTAACCTCAATCGGTACTCTGTTGTTTTTGGATGGTGTCTGGTTGGAGAATCAATTGGATCAAGTGAGCTGTTTTGGGGATTTGGATTGCTAGTCCATAGAGTAGTTCAAATTGTTGCCTTATATGCTAGTTTTACTATTGAGAATGTATCTGGTGCTTCTGTAGTGGACAAGTTATGGAGCATGCTTTTTTATATCTAAAGCTCCTCTTCTAAATGCCAGTATTTATTGCTAACGAGTTAGAAAATATCTAGAGAGGCTTCCTTTGGCAGGGTAAGAACGAGGTTCATTAGTTTAGTTTGGCGAAAAGAAGGTCTACAATTCGAAAGAGCATCAAGGGTTTATGGTGAAAATATGGAACTGTCAACTGGGTCTCATCTTGGCAGGGCCTGGCCATGGGTTGCCTGTTCAACTTGGTCAAGTTTGAACGAGATTCTGAGTCCATATATAAATAACAAAAGGAGGAGCCAGGAAAGGAGCTCAGACTTGCCAGGGTCCTCAACTGAGCCGACTCGAGCAAGTCCGGAGTTGGCCCAGCGAGTTTTTAAACACTGAGAGGATGAGTGGGTCATTGTTTGGAAAGTGGCATTCATGTTTTGTGAGTGAGAGAGGGATTTGTGAGCTAGGATTGTGGAGGATATATATGGCAGAACTAGTGGTGAGTGGGATGTCCAATATTTGAATGGATCTTGTGAGGGTATTTGGGGTTGAAGGGATCTCACATGTCAAAAATTGCAATGTTCCTTTGTAATCACGACAAGAACCCATTGGGACTGACTGACTTTCGTGAATTAGGGCTGACCAAAATTGTGATATCAGCAATATTATCACTTTCCCAGGAAGTATACCCACAAAACATGAAAGATTTGTGAAGTGTAAAGTGACCGAATTGTTTTATTTTATTGATGTCTCTAAAATATATGTAAAGTAGTAATTTGAAGAGTATGCCTAGAAGAACTACAAATGGGAAGCAAGAGTGATTCAGCATGCACTTGGGAGAAACTCTTTCCATCGATCCACTTTCAACTTATGGTGTTTCTTTTCAAAGGCATGTATTAAGACAGACCCCAATCCCTCATGATGAAATTCTTCGAACCAACCCCCTCCCCCCCTCCCAAAAAAATTTTTTTTTATTTTGCTATTTTTATAATGTAGAACCTAATATTGAGTCAACAACCAAATTTTGTTTTGTTATTAGTTTCTGTCACTTCTTTAAGGGAGGGTCTTATGAGCCCCTATCTGCATCAGGAACAAGTTTGGAGCATATGTCACCCTTATGTTGCTTTGAATAATAGGAACTTGAATGTTTCCCCTATTAGCAGTGTCGACTTCTGGCCTTTCCATTGACTTCTGTTTCTCCAATAGTGATGTTTGACAAATAGATGCTAAGCATTACTTGTGTCATGATTAATAAAATATTACGTGCAGTACTTTCCGCTTTCAATTTCATTTACAAGTGCGAATGTCATGTAGCAAATTTCAACTTTTATTCATGGTAAGTGCTTCATATGGTTTGCAGTTACTACTTGTTGTCGAGCTACAGATGCACTAGATACTCTTCGAGGGAGTAAAGGGTGCTTTGATGTAGTTATAAGTGATGTTTATATGCCTGACATGGATGGCTTCAAGCTTCTCGAACATGTTGGGCTAGAAATGGATCTGCCTGTAATTAGTAAGTAACATTTCCTGGCACTGAGTTCTTTTTTTTTCTCCTTAGGTTACTTATTTTAACTTTCATTGTGCAGTGATGTCTGCTGATGCACGATTTAGTGCTGTAATGAAAGGAATCAAACATGGGGCATGTGATTATTTGATAAAGCCTGTAAGAATCGAGGAGCTGAAGAATATATGGCAACATGTTGTTAGGAAAAAGTGGAATGAGACCAAAGAACACGATCAATCAGGTAGTATTGAGGATAATGAGCGACATAAACGAGGTTCTGATGATGCTGAGTATGCTTCATCAGTTAATGAAGGAACAGATGGTAACTGGAAGGTTCAAAAAAAGAGGAAGGATTCTAAAGAAGAGGAAGACGATGGTGAACAGGAGAATGAGGACCCTTCTGCAGCCAAGAAACCTCGCGTGGTATGGTCGGTGGAGCTCCATCAGCAGTTTGTCAATGCGGTGAACCAGCTCGGAATTGATAGTATGGACTCTATAGTTTTATCACTTTATCATATGCTGATTCTAGTCATTTATGTCATCATCAGATTCACAAATATTTATAAGTGAGATATGCCACTCAAAGAAAGTCCTACTTGAACTGGATATTTAGAAATTGCGTTGTTCCGTCTTTCATTACTGATCTCCTTTCCCTTCTTGCAGAAGCTGTTCCCAAGAGGATACTTGAGTTGATGAATGTTCAAGGTCTGACAAGGGAAAATGTTGCAAGCCATCTTCAGGTTTGATCTATAACAATGCGTAATTTCGCTTTTGGTGGATATGCCTTTCGTTTTTCTTTCTGAAAATGTTTTTTGCTCCTTAATAATTTTTTTATTGCCTGCTTATTATGTACATGTTGCTGTGTTAGGCCTCTCGATTGACCTTTAAGGAACAAGATCTATTGCTACTGAATGTTCAGTTCAAAAAAGTGATATGTTTTTTCTTTTTGTTACCTTGTCCTGGTCACAACTTCATCAACTTAGAAATGAAAGTTGAAAATAGGACACTGAAACTTCATTTAACAATTTTGGAATATGTTCGTGTCTAACTTATGTGAAAGCCTGAATACATGCATAAGGACTGCCCATAATACTATCCAAATACTGAAATCAAGAAATGATGCTGCATGCTCACCATTACTCATCTGCATTCAGATTGTTGTATTTGTATGTGCATTCATACTTGTTTCTTCTTTCATTGAGGCTTTTACATATCTTTGTGGTCAGGCTTGTTGTCAATTTATGATCTAGAGTAAAACTTCCGGGATAATGAACAATCGATAGAGGCTAAGAGGCTTATATTTGACTATCTAGGGCATGTTTGGTTCATGTGAAAATATTTCCATGAAAATATTTTCACATAAAAAACTTTCTTCTTGTGGTTAGGTGTGGGAATATTTTCACACCAATTTGGTGCCAATTGGTGTGAAAAGATGCGCTGGGACTAATTGGTGTGAAAATATTCCCACCCCTAACCACATGCGGGAATTCTTTCACTTGAAAATATTTCTTGTGAAATATTTTCACACGAAACAAACGTGGCCTTAGTGTTTTCTGCTCTAGACCCATAGCTTAGGCTTGTAGAATTATTAACTTCCTTAGATGACAGTGTTGGGAAATGGCATATGAATTCTTGTTATTGATCTATTGAATCTGTTCTGTTTAAATGACTAAATTTAAAATTATTGGATTTGTATGGTTTCTTGAAAAATTTGAACCATTCATATTTATTATAGCGTGACTGTGTCTTTGTATCTACTCCATAACTCATGATTTTCCTTATCATGAAGTCTGGTATTTGCTCTGTATCATGAGTGCAGCTCTATATCAAACCTCGCAACCTAGTGTTATGAAATTTCTCTGATTCCTCGGATCCATAATTTTATTTGTCTGTAAATGTATAGAACTTGTAGACATGTCAATCTTATCATGAGCCCACAATAGCTGCTGTATATATCCAAAACTCAAGGCTTTAAGATGCTGGCTAAGGCCTAGTGTTCGCAAAATCGAACTGGAACGGTTAACAGGACATGGGCTTGGAAGCGGTTTAACCAACCTAACCGGTAAACCGGCCGTTTCAACCATTCTAACCGGGCAAGTCCCGGGAGGTCAAAAAAGTGTTGAAAAAAATAAAAAAGATGCAAAAAAAAAATCCTACTAAAATATGAAAAACATATAAGGAATGATTAAAACAAAACACATTCAAGTGAAGTTGAAAATTAATGAAAAAAATGGATTTTTACGAATTGTTTTGTGCCTAGGGGTACTTTTAAAATTTTATGAAAAAGATGCGAAAATATAAAAGTGAGTATTAATGACCAAAACAATTTTTAATCTTTACCATAATGTAAAGAATATTTTAAAAATGCACTACAAACCAAATTCCTTATTTTTAGGAATTTATATACATTTTTTTTGAATTTTTTTGTTTAAATTCTGGTTGATATCCAAAACCGCCCAAAATTGGAACTGACTAGTGGCTGGTTAAAAGATCTAACCGGGCGGTTACCGGTTGGATTGCCTGGTTTTTCCAACAGTGCCAAAGCCATACTTAGCAATTCATTGATGTAACTTTGCCAATCAGATCATGAATGTCAAATTGATTATGTTTGTAGTTTTGTACCATGAACTTTATTGTTCTCTTTTTCGTGAAACAAATATGCTCACTCATACAAAAGTGTCTTATCGATTGTTTTCATGCAGAAATTCCGGCTATATTTGAAAAGGCTAAGCGGGCACCAAGCTGGTGTTTCAAGCTCATTCTGTGGGTCTGTAGATCCAAACTCGAAGCTTGGTCCTCTCAGTCAACTTGACATCCGAGCACTCACTGCTTCAGGGCAGATCCCCTCTCAAACGCTAGCTGCCCTGCAAGCTGAGCTCCTAGGCCGACCCTCTAACAACGTGGCGATGCCAGTTTATGGCCAAACCTTGGTTAAATGCCAGCCCAATCTACCTAAACAGTTTCCCCAACCAAACTTACCAGTTGATGACGTCCAATCAAGCCTCAGCATATGGCAGCACCACCTTAGCTCTGGGATGCCATTGGGTGGGCTAAATCCCCAAAACAATGGCTTGCTTATGCAACAGCAACAACAGCTTACTATTGAATCAAATAGACCGTGTAATGTGCAACCGTCTTGCCATGTTGCTCCATCAAATGGTGGGTTCACCATGAGAAACAACCCAACCTCTTCAAATGCGAGCTCAGTGGAGTATAATAGCCTTCTCTCCTCTCAGGGCGATGTGGGTCAGATCTCGCAGGCGAGTGGGTCAGATCTCGCAACCACTGTACAGAGCAATGGTGGCTTCAAAAGCTTGGATTATAGAAACATGGGTCAAGTCTCACTAGAAAGTACATCAGATCTTGTCTCTACTCAAAACAATGGTTTTAAGGGCATGGAGTTGAGGAACGTGGGTTCTCTCGGTGGTTACCCTCTTTCTTCTTCTGTGTCTGCTGGTTCAACTAAGACAGAGAATGGGCAAAGCTTCTCTCAGGTTCGAACTGGTCCCAGGATGAGCATGGGACCCACAGGTCAGTTTGTGGGTCCCCCCACTATACGGAGGTTGCCCATGGTGGACGGTGGGACCCATAGGAATAGCCTGGGTTTTGTGGGTAAGGGAGTGAGCATACCTAGCAGGTTCATGCCAGACTCTGGTTCACCGACTGGCGTTGGAGAAGAGTGCACTCTTCCAAAGCAGGAGGTTGACCCTGATTTCTTTGATTCCTTGAAGGTTGGACCAGTTGGTGTGCAGCATTATGCTTCTGGTGATCTCATGAGTGTTCTCTCGAAGCAGGTAATGTGCCTTGGATCTTTAGGTCTTTGTGTTCTATAAGACCCAATTGCATACTACGATATTATTCTAATATATGATGGTGCATAGTATCTCACCATTCATTTTTGAAATGGCTGTTATAGATGAATGTGTGCTGGATGTCCGATGTTTTGGTTATCACTTGAGCTACTAAATCTTTCGTGTCACCTGTTTGCTTGGTTGTGAATTCCTTATTCTTTATGAAGTGGGAAAATTTTGGTGTTCCCATTTAGAGATGTTATATTTCACTGTTCTTGATGATTCTCTTTTCCGTCTCCCTTATAAGCAAATTTTTTTATTCATGATTTCCAATAAAAATTCACAGAACAGCATTTCTGCGTTCTGATGATCAAATAACCCTTTTGACCTTTGGATTTATTTGGTTCATTCTCATTATATTTGCTTTTCAGTTTCTCTTTGAAAATTTTGGGTTGCTTTACCTGATTTCTATTGCAATTTGCTTTCGTTTTTCACTAAAGATGGGTTGCTTTACCTGATTTCTATTGCAATTTGCTTTCGTTTTTCATTAAAGATCAGTTGCATTGTCTTCTTGTATGATATTCTCATGCCATACTATTGTGTTGATTATGTTTGCAGCAGCAGGCGAGCACTGGGAACTTAGATTGTGAGTTTGGAATAGATGGTTATCAGTTGGGTAACATACATGTGAAGTAAGTAGCCAATTTTTTCTCTTTATTTAATTGTCTTAGTGAACTGTTTGTTGGGGCTGGCTGTGTAAAGGTGCCAGAATATTCGCAATGCTTGTGAAATGTGGCTTCCTCTTGCATGAAGAGGTGCAGTTAGTGCTTTGTGGACGCATCCTGGTTTCTAACCAGAAAGAAAAGGAGAGAAAAAAAAAAGGTCCTTTCTTTTCTCAAGAATATAGTTGTATGATATTGAGATGCAGTGCTGGGATGGGTCGAAAAGTGCCCTTTTATCAAAATAATAATAGTCGCGTTACATGGTATCTTCGATTCGGAGAAAAAATTATTTATTTTTTCCTTCTTTTCCAAAGGCTGGCGCTGCTCAAATCACATCTTTATGCCTCAATTGCATGGGCACTTCTGAAGCACACACTTGTAAGCTCCAGTTACCGGATTTTTGTATGATCATGAAGAGGGAAAGTTGAGTTCTTTTTGTATGATTATGAAGAAGGAAATGATGGCATCCTCTGGGTGGGTCACAAAAACCGGTGCTGTCCATCACCGGGAAAACCACAATTTCCTGTTTTAGAGCACCCAAAATAATCTCAAACCCCCATTACAATCATTTGATTTAGTTTGACTTAGTTTGGAGTTCCAGAAAACCTCCACATCTACTTGAGTCAAATGGAATGTCCAGATCTGATATTAAAATCACAAGTGAAATGGAAGCTCCAGATCCGATATTAAAATCACAAAAGCTTCTAGGTGAGGGGCTTCAAATCCATTTTTTCCATAAATCTATCATTGGGATGTGAGAATGTGTTGGAAATTTTGCTGGCCTGCTCCAAATTTGAAATCTGGTTTCTACTTCGGGAGGGCCACCAATTCTGGTGCGTCTTTTGGAGCGTGGCATTAGTTAGTTCTCTTGTGAAAAGCAGACTTAATAAAGGTGTGTTCAAGTTGCTCAGGATTGTAATATGAAACTGTCCTTTCAAAACCTTGTTTCTCACTGCCCATGTTGTCTTCTCAATAAATTTCTGAGTTGGGCATTGGAATTTCATTTTTGGAAAGGGGCTGCCGTTGTGGTGGTAGCTCCACCATCTATAGTCACGACATTGTGGTTTCCTTTCTCACCACTAACACTACCTTAAAAAAAGTCTTTCTCACCACTAACACTACCTTAAAAAAAGTTTACTCGTAATCTATGTGACAGGTAGGGCCGGTCTTCCCCATTGAATTACCCAAATAAATAAAAAAATATAATGGGCTTGAGGGATATCTTGGTCATTTACAAATGGTGCCCCCCCAAAGGTGACTTGTTGGCATTTTTGGAAATTTATAAGATAACGGGCTCAATACTTTATTGGTTTTGGGCATATGAGAGTTTCTTTGAAATTTTATGTGGCGCATTCTGTTTTTTGGGTGTTTGAGGGAGAATTGCCTTCTCTCTTGTCGTTGATCCGCCCGCCCGCCCGTTAGACTGATTTGGATAGTTGATCCATCCGAGAAGGATCTGACCGATTCTTGGTGTGAGAATTAAAATTAAAATATGTAGGAACTCGTTGAGTCAGACAGATTGCTTGGTTCTTTAGTAGTCTCACCCAATTCCTTGAAGTAAGTGATTTTTATCCTACTCGGAGAGATCTTGGTTCCAGCTAGGGACTAAGCTTATCTGTGGCGATTCTGGATTTGGTTCTGAGTGGGTAAAGGGTCATTTTGGTCATGATACATCCAACACGTCCTCAAGAACGGGGCAGAAGATTGCAGCTTCTCCTTACAGCGGAGGCAGAAGATGCCTGCCCCTCACTGTGGTGTGGTGCAGTAGGCTCAAGCTAGCACGTTCTTAAATATAGGCAAGAGAGAGACAAGGGCAAGAGGGAAAATAGCTTCTCTCATTGCTGGTTAGACAGAGAGATGGGATTTTTGTAGGCCTAATAAGTGAAATCAGAATTTGGGGTTTTGGATTCCAGGTATATGAATCTGATCACGATGGCAGCTCACCCTTTTTGTCTAAAATGGCTTGTGTTCTGTGGACATGTAGCCGACAGAGAAGCTAATGGAGAGAGAGAGACGTGGAGGTGAGAGAAATGGGACAGAGAGGGAGGAAGCCAAAGAATGGAGAGAGAGAGTGGATGCCAGAGAACGCGCCAAGGGAAGAGAGTCTTTGGAGAGGGAGAGGATGCCAGAGAAGGCGCGAAGGAAAGAGGGTTGACGTTGTTAATGAGGTTCAAAGCAGGAGAGAGAGAGAGAGAGAGAGAGAGAGAGAGAGAGGGCATTAAATAGGTTCTTGAGTGTTGAGATAGCGTGTGAGGGCATTAAATAGGTTCTTGAGTGTTGAGAGAGCGAAATGGAAAAAAAATAAAATCCTAGCCGTTGATTTTTCCAATATTAATCGTAGCGATTAGGCATGTGCTATTGGTAACATACTTCAGAGCAAATTAGCCGGTGTAATCCCAATTTTGAGGTTGAGGTTGTAATCTAATAATGGTTTTTAGGGGTCCTATGCCATTAGGTGTGGTAGGGTCCTATAGGATCATAACTTTATAATCCTAGAGGACCCTGCCACATGTCCAACGACTACGATTAATACAAGAAAACTCAATGGCTAGGATTTTATTTTTTTGGTTCTTATAGGACCTTGCCATAGTGTCGAGAAATGTGATTTCAATATTCAAAATTTTTGTGATAGCTTCAAAATATATTTTCATATTTATTTATAAAGTTTAAAGCTTCAAAAATAGTATAGTGTAGATCGACATATCTATGAAAACTTAAAAATCTTGAAAATTGACGGTCCAAAAATGCATTACAAAATACGCTATTTTCTTTATTGTTGGCGTGTCTTGGGGCCTCGCCTGGAGTATGTATCTTTCCCTTGGACTCCTTGTAAGAATTCGCGTGTTAAAAAGTCAGGTAGAGAGTTAGTATTTCCATCTATGTGTTGAATATCAAAATCAAAGGTGGCTAGTATGACTTGTCATCTTGCAAATATCTTTTTTGATACTAAGATTTTAACATCCTTCTCAATAACATCTTTGGCTGTTTTGCAGTCTGTTTTGATTAAGAAATTTTGGTTAAAAATATCATCTTCAAATTTTAGAACACAACAAACAATAGAGAGGATTTCCTTTTTTATTGTAGGATAATTCTTTTGAGTGTCATTCCATTCTTTAGACATAAATCTTACTAATTGTTCATTTTTTAAGTCGGGCATTTTTTGTTTAAAAATACCTCCAAAACCAATTTCAAATGCATCAGTCTCTATAATTTTAAAAGCTTTAGGAGTATATCACAATCTTTTGCAAGGTCTTTGTAATAGAGAGATAGACATGGGAGAAAGAAACAAATAAGGATAAAGAAACAAATAAGGATGCGGAAGCGTCCATAATCTGTAACCATAAAGACCGAAGTTTCCCAAGTACTTTTTTCTCCTTCCTGCACTAACTAATAACATTCAGTGAGTCTCCTTCAACCACGCATGTGGTACCCAAGTTCACTTTATGAAAGTTTTTAGCCCCTTAAGCAATGCGTTCATTTCTACAAAATTCATTGTTGCCACACCAATAGGTCCTGCTTATGACAAGACAATATTCCCATAACAGTCACGAATAACACCACCTATGCCAGTTGGACCAAGATTTCCCATAGAGCTCCCATCAAAATTCATTTTCAAACAACCTGTAGGTGGAGCATACCATAATCCCTTAGGCCGACATTTCTACACCCCAAGAGAAAATAAGTTAGAAAGATTGACCATAACATCTACTTTGTGATTCCCCAACCCTCTTTACAAAGAGGCTTGACCATATAGACAGTTTGATTAAATGAGTGACTTTTTCAAAAGGCAAAGCCAAAAGCTCAAAAATTCTAATATTTCTCTCTTTCCATACTTCCCACAAAATCATTCATTTTGCGATCTTTCAAATCACACTACCCACCTTAGGCAAAAAAGGAAATGTAAACTGAGAGAGAACCACCCACACCCTGAGGCTGCAACAAAGATATACCAACCATGCTAAACAACCAATGCCAAATACTAAAGGTAAAAGGACAATTGATCAACTGATGCGCAACTGCTTCTCCATCTTGTTTGCATAACAAACAAATATTTGGCAAATTTTACCCCCTTTTCATAAGATTATCTATAGTTGGAATTTTATCTTGCGCCACCAATCAGATGAAAACTTGAATTTTATGGCGAATAGGCCATTTCCATATTTGAACAAACTCATGGCAAGACCATCTCTAGCGGTCATGGAAGAACAAATTATAGCGCGATATAACAGAGAACAAACCATCATTCTCAAGCTCCCATACTAGCAAATCTTCTACATCTTGTGAGATATATACTTTATCCAAGAGCTCCAGTAGTGTACACTATTGGGACAACATCAAGTTAGTTAAACACATATATATGAGAGGGATATTCTAGGATATCAAAAGACCTCTCCTTTCTATAGCCTCACAAATCAGCAAATTTGGGTTAGCGACCACCCGAAAAAGATTTGGAAATACAACTGTAAGAGGAAAATCCCCGATCCACTTATGGTGCCAAAACAAGACCTGCCTACCACTTCCAACATTCCATCTAAAGTACCTTGAAATCATAAGTCTACAATTGAAGATAGCTTTCCACAAAGAAGAAGTCTCATTTCCTCTATTACCACCAAGCCACAAATTATAGCAATCTGTCACATACTTAGAAGCTAGAACTTGGTACCAAAGATGGTTCTTAAAGTGAACACTACGCCACCACCATTTGCACAGCAATGCCTAATTAAATTTTTTGACATTCCGAATACCCAGACCACCTTCGCCCGTAAGGGTACAAACTCTATCTCACCTCAAAAGATGAAATTTCTTGTGATCCTCACACGAACCCCACAAAAAATCTCACATCATTTTGTCAATTCTCCTTCCCACCGAGGCTAGAATTTGGATCACAGACATCTGATAGACTGGAAGATTAGCCAAACAGGATCTTAACAAAGTAACCCTACTTCTCAAAGATAAGTATTTATGTCTCCATAAATCATGCTTAACTTGCACCCTTTCAATAGCCTTATCTCATATCGCAATAGAGAATTTGAATCAGAGATGGGTAATCCCAAATAGAAAATGGGAAAAGCACCCACGTTACATCCAAAAACACATGCCAAATTTTTCACCACTGATCATGTACAGTTAATGCCCACCAAAAAGGATTTATAGAAATTAACTTTAATCCCCAACGTCACTTCACAAATTTCCAAAAGCCTTCCA